CTATATTTGTCAAATACTTGCATCACATTGTTCCAGGACCCACCCTGCCAACAAGTGTAGATAATATGTATCCTTTCTCATTCTATTTCAAACAATCTTTGTCTATCATACTCCCTCAGATAAGCCCCCAGCCCCAGAGGCTAAGAAAACCACTTCCTCAAATAAAAGGGCAAGTACTTGCAGCCCAGGGGGGTTGGAGTCAATGGCCAGGTGGCCTTTGCTCATGTGTTGCCAGCTCCTGGCACCTTAGGATCTGCAACATACCTGGAAGCAGGTAATTTGATGGTTATTCTCCATTCTCTTTGGTTTTAGATAGCCCCAAATGTCTAATAATCTATTAATGTCCCTTTATGATTGCTATGAATTTCTCTTGAAGCCATTTTTTTCTTGTTCTATTTTTGTTGTTAGTGTAACATTCTTCCTTGTGCTCACTACCTTCTCGGTGCTTATTTTCATTTGTCCTGTAGCAATCTATGCTCTTGAAGCTTTAGGAAAAATTATCTTTTGCCTTTCTCATGGCTGTTTCTGTTGTGCAAGAGTACAAAAATGAGGCACTGAGCTAGGGATGTAGCTCAGTGGTAGAGCACTTGCCTCAATATATTAGGCCCTGCATTTGATCCCCAGCCCACAAAAGAAGAAAAAGGAGGAGGAAGAGGAGGAAGGGAAGAGGAAGAGGAGGAGGAAAATAAAACAGCCAAAGCATTATTTTTCTTTATGCTGATGCTCTAGAAAATATTGTGTCATGAAAGATAACTGACAAGGGTTAACTGTCCTCTTTGTTTCTACTTCAGACCAGGATAAAAAAAAAAAAAAGACATAGAGTGTTTTTTGGTGCTGTATGTGCTTAGGCCCAGATATGATACAGTTAAGAGTGGGCCCTTACCAGAGCTTGCGCCATGCTGTGAACTAAATGTTGAATGCTATTGAAAACAAATAAGATATGCTGTGCTTTTGCTTTGTGTCAGAGTTTTTATGTTGGTCCATGTTCGGAAATTATATGGTTATTTTAAATTTTAACTTGTTTTATGTTAAATTGATTTCTGGAAATAATCTGTATTTCTGTCAGCTCCTTGGAGAAGTCAGAGATCCTTCCGTCCGCTAAATGCACTGGGATTTATATCCTGCTTTACTTTTCCTTGTGAGACCAAATCCGCAAGGCGGATTGTGTCCTTTCTGTAAACCACTTGATGTTATGACTCCAGGATGCATCTTGAACCTTGTTTTCAAGGGAACTTTGTAAACAAGTCCTAAGCTTAACAGGCATTTTGTACTGCAACATGAAAAATAAGAACACCATAAAATTTCCTGTTTGTAGAAAGAGGCATCTGAGATTAGCTAAGTACTTAGCTGCTCACATTGCAGTTATTCTTATTAATGTCATTGATATTATTTATTGTTTCTCATTACTTTTCTGAAAGATCTGAGTGTAATTATCCTAGTTTTAGAGACTTTGTGCACAGGGTTCACAGAGTTAACTGAGAAACCACCACCACACACTTTTTTTTTTTTTTTACTCCAAACATGACTAAGAATTTAGGGCCTGGGCTGGGAAGGTGGCTCAGTGGTAGAGCGCTTGCCTTGCATGCCTGAGGCCCTGGGTTCGATTCCTCAGCACCACATAAACAAGAAGAAAAAAGCCGGAAGTGGCGCTGTGGCTCAAGTGGTAGAGCGCTAGCCTTGAGCTGAAGAGCTGAGGGACAGCGCCCAGGCCCAGAGCTCAGGCCCCACGACTGGACCAAAAAAACAAACAAACAAGAATTTAGGGCCTAAAAATAATTCAATTGGAATACACAGAAGAAATTCAAACATCATTATTTAGCCAGTCTTTATGTGTATTTATGTTCATATCTATAATGTTAGAACATGCACACAGGCTTTGGGAATATTTTTTAATCTCACCATTTTAGGGGAAAAAAATTTGAGACAAGGTCTTGAGATATAGCCCCTAGTGGTCTCAAACTCACAATCCTCCTGTTTCAGCTTCCAGAGTGCTGAGATTACAGGCATGTGCCACCTCACTTGACTCAACTTTTTAAAATTCCTGGACACACAAAAATGGATCTTCATTAGCCAAGATTTCTTTTCTATTTTTATTTCTCTTTACTTACCAGGAAGATTTTAAGGATATTTCTTCCTTTCCTTCCTCCGCCCCTTCCTTCCTTCCACTGTTCATGCTCAATGTGAATCTACAATCATTACACTTGAGTGGAGGAAATACCAGTAACAAATCACCAGGAGCAGAACTCCCACTGTGGTGTTTACATCTAGGTAGAAGTGCTGAACCTAAAACCCATTCTAGTCATGTTTTTTTTTTTTCCTCCTTTAATGACAACTAGGAAAGACAACTCCACAGGAAGAAAAATAGAGGCCCAGATTTGGCAAAAAAAATCTTACAAAAATGCAAACACACACACACACACACACACACACACACTTTCTAAAATATGAGTTTTCTAGCAAAGTCCTCTAAGCTAAAGAATTGGCCCTGTTGTCAGGTGACAGATCTCAAGTGCCAGGGCGACAGAGTGCCCAGGCTGATAAGGTGCATGCCAAGGCTCTCAGGTGGGAATTCTTGGCACAGCAGAAACACCACTGGCGCAGGCACAGCAGCTTGGTAGAGTCACCCTCTCTCCACTCCTGTGTTTGTTTGCTTTACTTGTTGAAGCCTACTGTTTTGCAATCATGCTCCTTACTGAGAGCTAACTTTCCTTCAATCACCGGCTTTCCTATTAGATGAAGAAGCAAGAAGTTACTCCCAAAGAGCTCTCTGCAGCCTAAACCCTCTTGGGGATGGTAGGGTCTGGAAGGAAGGAGTCCAGAGCACCAGACTTGTTTGTGTCCAGACACCCTGGACAGACACCCTACAGTCTATGACCTCCTGGCCCATGCAAGCACGCGCCCAGGAAATGAAAGTAAAATTGGATCTGGCACGGACCCAGTCGGTGACAGGTAGTAGGATGTATACTCAGAGAGACTGACAGACGTGGCAGACAGGCTCCTCCGTGTGAGGGCGATCCTGGGGACAAAATGAAAAGAGAATGACGGAGACAGACAATAGTTAAGCTGGGAGATGGGGGCGGGGTGGGGGGGAGGACCCTTGGAAACCCAGCAGGTGTGCCAGTAGTACCTGCTATCCGCGGTGCAGACAGACCAGCCTCTTGACCTGGTCTGCTGCGGTGACCATCCTGTGGCCAACCAGACGGCCGGACACTGGCCAGTTCGTGGCGCTGCATCCCTCTGATCCACGGCGTTTCAAGCCCTTACCAGAAGCAGAGCCTGGAATCTGTCCCCGCCCATAGGTGAAACTCAGGTCTACTCAGGTGACTCTCCCTGGGAAGAAGTCCTCAGAAAAAATAACCTCGCTGCAGCCACTTCCTCCCCTGGTGCAATGTCCATGGTCCGAGAGAGAAAGGCTGCTGAGCCAGCTGAGCCAGCAATACTCAGCCCAGACCAAGCTATGGGCAAGGTCCCCAGCCACTTGCACTGGGTCTCAGAGCCATTATGGCAGACTAGGTAGGAGGTAGCTTAGAGTTCTGCTAGGGGACACATTCTAGATGGGGGTACTAGGGAGTGGACATGACTTGCCTCGTGTCCTAATTGTCAGGGAGTTAGCATTAGAAGCTGGGCTGCTAAGTGGTCCTTCTCCAGTGGCTAGTTGTTAAGACATCGGAATGAGCCAAAGGGTTATAGGACAGGGGAGACCCATACCCAGGAGTAGAGGTCCCTCGGAGCTGTGCCTTCCCCCTCCAGTTTTATCCCTAGAAGGGAAGACAGAAAGGGAGGTAACGAATCTGCTAGGAAGAACACCAACGGGTGACAAACATGTTTGAACTGATTCACCATGAACAGTCAACATCTCCTCGAGCAGAGGCTGGGACTCTCCTTTTCCCCTTTGACAACACGGTGACCCCAGACTAGAAGAATCTAGGATGCCGCACCCCAGTTTTCTGTGTTTGTTTGCCTGGCCAAATTAGGAGTGAGTCTATTGCCTCTTACCTACAGTGTGATTTGGGGGCGATATACTCCCCCTTTTTGAAGTTCAATTTCATACTTGGTGAGACAGGGAAAAAAGTAGTATTAGCTTCCTCACTTAACTCTCGGGTTAGTGTGAAGATCAAAAAGGACTGGGATGTGGCTGTGCTTCGTAAACTGTAAAGCGATTAACATACGTGAAGCCTTAGTGTGCTCTCAGGCAGTCAACTGTCACGTTCACAATGGGTGAAAGAAGACAGCCAGTCAAACTCAGGTTATAACCTTATAAGGCATAATTGGATTACAACGAGGGAGGAAATAAAACGGTATCATTCTTCCTAATTTTGGTTATTCCTGTATTTCCAAATAGGAATGCGAGTTCTGAAACTTCAGATAACTACCCCTTCCAAGACCCAATTCTCGACTCAGCTATTCCCAGCTTTGCCCTTGTGGAGAAATCGTCCTCGCCCATCCAGAAACTCCCCCCCCCCCGGGCTTTTATCAGCTCTGGAAGGACCAGGTGAGTCCCACCCCTCTGGACTCCTCTGGGTACTCAACTCCAGAGAGGCTCCAGGGGAGTCTGGGGTCGAGGCTCGGTCAGGCGCTGAGCCGGCAGGGGGCGCGGTCCACTTCAGGCCACGGCTCCCCAGCTCCGGGGCTTGGGACATTCACGAGCCCCCCAACCCCACCGGTTGGTTCTTGCAGCTAGCTGAATGCCAGGAGGACGCGCACTATGGGTTGTACAGTGCCCGGGGAGGGACGGGGGGAAGCCCCAAAGAAGCTGTGTTGGCCTTCTGCCTCGGCTTACCGTCTGAGCCCTGTGGCAGCTTCCTGGAGCCCATCTCCTAGTCCTCAGGGTACCAGAGACCCTTTACCCCACCACCAGAGGCAAGCAGTGCGCGCGCGCCCGAAGGCAGAGGCGCGCGCGTTGCCCGAGGAAAGGGAGGGGGAGAGGGCAGAGCAGGCCCCGCCCCTTGAGCGCATATAAAGCTCAGGAACTGGAGCTGGCCACTCAGTGGTTTCTTGGTGACACTATACCGAGCAGCTACAGCCTTTAAGCCCTTCTGGGTTCTTCTCATCGCCGTCAGTCTTGGACTTTGGGATTTTTGCCACTGACTGGAGAAGGACGTCTGGGACTTTTATCTTCCAAGTACTTAGAAGATCACCCCTTCAGCAGGTAGGTGCTAGACGGGCCCAAGGGGCGGGGGTGGGGTGGGGTAAGGATTTTGCTGGGGCCCAAAACTGGGAATGCTGGGTGAGGGGAACAACCCACTTTAGGGTGGGGGGGACCCTCTACGGAAAACACCCCCCCCATCTCGGGTACAGCTTATGCACACAGCTAGAGCTCCAGATCCAGTAACTCTGCTCCATAAGCTAAGTTCCAAAAAAAAAAAAAAAAAAGAGTCGAGCGGGGAACCTCTGGAGCCTGGCTCTGCAGCGGCCTCCCCGGCGGGGCCTGTCACTCGCGGGGCGGGTGCAAACGCCTCTGGCGCCTCTCTGCGCCCGGGGGAAGATAAGTGTCTGAGCCAAGCCGAGCTGGGGCTGAGCCCGCCCGCGCTGGGGGCCCCCCTCCCGCCTTTCGTGCTTTTTGCCCGGACAGTGCAATCGGCCCCGGTGCTCATGCTCCGCTGCTCTCTCTCCTCTTTCCAGAGTCTGCGCTTCGCCAGAATGAAGCTGGTTTCCATCGCCCTGATGTTCCTGGGCTCCCTGGCCTTCTTAGGAGCGGACGCCGCGCGGCTCGACGTGTCCTCGGAGTTCCGAAAGAAGTAAGTCCCCGTTCCGAGCCCTCCCCTTAAGTCCTGGTCCCTAGCAGACCAGGGAAACGGGGCCCTTGACCCCCCCCCCAGGAGTTAGGAGTGAACGGGAGCGGGAACAGCCGCTGGGACGTCCCCTGGACGGACACTCATTGGATCTGTTTGTGTTTTCTAGATGGAATAAGTGGGCTCTAAGTCGTGGAAAGAGGGAGTTGCGAGTGTCCAGCAGCTACTCCACCGGGCTTGCTGACACGCAGGCTGCATCTGTCCAGACTTTCTCTGCGCCCCAGGATGGGAAGGACGACGCCCGGAGCCCCCAGGCCAGGTAACCTTGCCGGGTGCGGGAGGCGTGCGGGAGGAGCGCTCCCTCTCCCTTGCCCTGGCCCTGCGGATCGCCCGGGCGGGAGTGCAGCTCTGGTGGCAGGAGCAATGAGACAGCTTCCCCTGGGCGTTCGGATGGCTCTGGTCCGTGGTGGTTAGGGCGAGAGTCCCGCTTGATGGGGTCGGGGGTCTCACGTGGCGTTCTTCTCTTCCCCAGCGGTCCGGACGCTGCTCGCACCCGAGTCAAGCGCTATCGCCAGAGCATGAACAGTAACTCCCAGGGCCTGCGCAGCTTTGGCTGCCGCTTCGGGACGTGCACGGTGCAGAAGCTGGCCCACCAGATCTACCAGTTCACCGACAAGGACAAGGACGGCGTCGCCCCCAGGAACAAGATCAGCCCCCAAGGCTACGGCCGCCGGCGCCGGCGTTCCCTGCCCGAAGCCCGCCGGAGCCGGACTCTGGTGCCTTCTGAGCCGCGGGCACTCTCGGCTCCGGCCTCACGGGTGCACCGAGGGGCCGATGACCTCCTTAGGATCTAGGTGCCTTAGCAGCATTGAACAATCGCTCAAGCGTCCTGTTGGCATCTCTGAGGCAGGGGGCTTCGGATCGGGACCAAGACTGTCCTGCAGAGACCTTGAGTCGTGGAGACACACACCGGCCGGCCACAGCCCTGGTTTGTTTTTTTTGCAGGGACACCCCCCCCCCCTCTTCAAGCCAGCGTTTCCTTCGCCCGGATCCGCCAGGATGCCCCAGGGAGGGGGGGCAGAGGAAGACCAGAGTGCCAGTCTCCACCGGGAAGAGGAGAAACGGAACTTTTTGAGACTCTCCAGGCAGGGCTGAGCCTGAACTCACGAACTGATTTTTCTCAACGGGGTGTCAACCCCCATCTGGGGCCCGCAAGCCTCAATATTACTTGAACTTTCCAAAAACCTAGAGAGGAAAAGTGCAATGCGTGTTGTACGTACAGAGGTAACTATCAATATTTAAGTTTGTTGCTGTCGAGATTTTTTTAACTTCAAATATATAGAGATATTTTTGTACGTTATATATTGGATTAAGGGCATTTTAAAGCAACTATATTGTCTCTTCCCCCCACACCCCCTATTTTAAAACGTGAATGTCTAAGCGAGGTGTAACATTTGGTTCGTGGTGTGTGTGTGTATGTGTATGTGTGTGTAAAGGAGTGTGCCTGATTGTGGAAGAAGGAAAAATCGTGTCTCTGTATAATCTATTTACATAAAATGGGTGATATGCGAACAGCAAACCAAATAAACTGTCAATGCTGATTCATTCTCGGCTCATGCATTTAGTGAGGGAGGGTCCTGGTCCCGATCCTGGTCGGCCTGGGAGCCATGGGGACCCCAGCGTTCTGTGGTCACAAGCCCTGCCCTCCGTGTTTGTGTGTGTGTGTGGGGGGGGGGAAGGGCAGAGGGGCGCAGAGCGCGTGTCCGGAGGCGAGTCAGGCCTTCGCGGAGGCGCCCCGGGTCACCGCCTCGCGTGGCGGCCCGGCTAGGCGGGGTAGGGTGAGACCCAGCGGGTGGACCAGCCTGGGTTCTTCGGCTTGCGCAACCGAGTTCCAGTTTTAAGGAGCTGTTCGTGGAACCTTGCGAGAAGGCGTGCCTCGGAGAATTTGGGGGTGTTCCCCCCCCACACTATCTAAAGTGGGACAATTCATCCTACCTCGGTGGGTGTGCAAGTGAAGTACAGAAGTGCAAAAGTGTGCGAGCATCGCGGGGGAAGCCCGTAGTAAGCCAACCCATTCCTTCCCCGGGCCCGAGCGTCCAGGAGGCCAGCGGGCGCATACGCGGGGTGGCAGCGCCCCCTGGCGTCCGCTTCCAACAGGCGCCACAAGCCCCGAGGTAGTACGTGCGGTTTAATAAGTTCTCCTACGTGGGAGTCAGCACACAGCCTTAATGAAGGAGGAAAGAAAGAAAAAAAAAAAACACAAAACAGTTTGCAGATGCCAACCGGGGCCCCCTCCCCCAGACCTGCCGGGCGGCTCGCTGTTCTGGGACAGTGACTCAGCGCCCACACGCTGCGCAGCGTGCAGCTGCTGGTCGGAGGCGGGCTGAACGGACGTGCAGCCGGAACCGTGCGCCTCCGACGGCCTGAGACCTTCATTGTTCCGCCTCTCCATGCAGCTCTCCTCTTCCTTCCTCCTTCCCGAGCCCTCTTCATGGTCTCTCTGGCCTTCGCTTCTTTCCCTCCTTCCTTCTTCTCCTTGCTTTCTGTATGCTTCATTCTCTTGGAAGGCTGCCCCTTACCCCGACCCCCCCCCCCCCCCCCCCCCGCCCCCAGTTCTGGTGAGAGGTGCTAAGCATTAAGCCCTCACTGAGTGATTGGAAGGGCTGGGGCCTGCGAATAATTAGGACAGAAGGGGAGGGTAAGGCAAGGCAACCTATCTGCTCATGGCATTGGCACCTCTGATTTTGATTTCTCTGCTGCATTCTTCTCAGTTAATTACCTAGCGAGCTAAAACAGAGACTCATCTTTTTTACTAATTATTTTTAAGTAGTTGTACAAAGAGGTTTCAGTTCAACAAATTCGTTTATAAGTACAATGCATCTTGATTAATATTACTCCTGCCATCATTCTCCCCCAAGATGAAGACTCTTGGCAGTCTTTTAAGAAGTTTCTTCTGGCCTTTCTCTGGCAAAAACATATCTGAAATGTTAGTGTTTCTAGGTTCTCAGGAGCCCTGCTGGTAGTGAAAGTCTGAAGGTGGCTTGGAAGATGGAAAAGGCTCCCTGGTGGCCTCATCTTGCTCAATTGCCTGTGACAGGGCCTCAGGGGCCAGGCTGGCTCTTCCTTGTAGAAGAAGCTGCAGCTGCAGAGTGGAAGAGTTCCTTAGGGCCGGATCCAAAAGCAACCTGATTTGGAAGCCTAGCAACAAGAGACACCTGGCTGTCCACAACGCCAGCCTTCTATATAGTTCATTGATCTTCACCATTTTGTGTGGTTCACTGGGAGATGGGGATACAAATGCAGCAACAGACTTTTCTGCCTTGAAAGATCACCTAATAAATATTCCATACTCACACATGTAATAGGTACATGGCATAGATGAACGAAAGAGTGAGGGGTCGGGGGACACTCCAGCCATGCAAAGGCTGCACCAGAAGGGGTTTCTGGGTGGTCTGAAGGGGCTACCGAAACTACAGTGCAGAGCTCACTTCGACCTTGCAGACAGTGGCTCAAGATTAAACACTCACCCTTTTCCTTGAGCTGAGGTTTGTCCCACAGCCACAGAGCCCTCCAGCCAAACCTCACCCTGGCAGAACTTCAGCCACCAGACAGAGCTGCCAAAGGCAGGTTGGGCACTAGCTTAAGGCTGCTGTGCGCAGGGAACAGGCATCTAGCCTTCTGTGGAGGGAGTCTTATGACTTCAGGGAATCTAAGGCAAGTGAAGCTGAAAGAGGTCAGCTCTGAGAGCAAAGAGGCAGCTGCTCAGCTGGAGTCCTTCCCACTACCAACCCTGTGACTGGAGACATTCCTGAACAGACAGAGACCCTCTTATGGCCAGCCTGGTTACGTGTTGAGGATTAACTAAAGGTCACCATGAAACCATGAAAACTCTGTCATCTGTCCAACCAATGTTTTGATTTCTTTTTTCATAAGGTGCTGAAGCTTATCAGGGTAGGGACCTCTTGATGCCAAGAACTCATCATTTATCAACAGAGCTGAGTCATTTGTGAGCTGATTTGACCTGTCCACAGCTGAGAAGTACTCACGTGTGTTAACTGCAGCTACTGTTGCTGGCAATGGGAATGGTACCACCGATTTGTAATGAACTGAGGTGGAACAGCTAAGAATGGAGGGGAAGAATTGCAAATGATTCTTGTTTTAACATTCAGTTCCTGTCAGATATTCTCCCAGCAACTTCTATACCTTATCTCATCTAGTTCTTACAGCAGCTTGATGAAATAGGTATTGTCTCTATTTGTAGATAAGGAAACTGAACCTCAGAGACATAAAGTAACTTAGCCAAGGTCACACAGTGAGCAATAACTGGTGGGACCTGAATTCACACTTAAGTACTATAGGCTATTTTGGTGCTATGAAGACAGATGTAAAGTAAAAAAAAATATATATATATAGTTTTTGGCTGATCTTGGGGCTTTAACTCCAGGCCTAGGTGCTGTACCTGAGCTCCTTTTGCTCAAGGCTAGCACTCTACCACTTGGCCACAGCACCACTTCTGGCTTTTTCTGCTTAAGTGGAGATAAGAGTCTCATAGACTTTCTTGCCCTAGATCCTCAGATCTCAGGCTCCTGAATAGCTAGGATTACAGGCATGAGTCACCAGTACCTCAATAGTAAGATAATTTTTTTTTTTTGGTCGGTTGTGGGGCCTGAACTCTGTGCCTGAGTGCTGTCTCTCAGCTCTTCAGCTCAAGACTAGCACTCTACCACTTGAACCACAGCGCCACTTCCAACCTTTTCTGCTTATTTGGTGCTGAGGAATCGAACCCAGGGTCTCATGCATGCAAGGCAAGCACTCTATCACTGAGCCACCTTCCCAGCCCTAGTAAGATAATTTTAACATGTAGTTTCTCAAGCCAGTTGTCCCCAAATGGCCTAGACTACCAGGGTGTCTTGAGTCAAGGTGATTTACACCTGTGGTTCTGAAAAGATTTGCATAAGGGTTGGTAGGTTAGAAGAGAGTTGTTTCAGCAGCTGTACACTCAATAACATGCAAAATATAAATAAATGAAGTTCATTTTGCATTCTTGGTCCTGATTTGAAGCAGGGATTATACATCAGGAATAACCATTTCCCCCCCTGAGCTAAGCCACTGACCTCTTTGGTTTGCATTGCCAAATATAGTTAGAACATACACTGAAGGCCTAAGAGCTGGCTTCTGAGGGAAAGGCCTTCTGAGCTATTCTTGGCAAAACACAGCCCCATATTGTAGGTCGAAGTCGCCTGGAAGAACACCTGTGTCTACAAAGCTGCAAATAGAGTTTCCACCCTTGAGGTGGGACCTTTTGTCTTGGCAACTGCTGGTCAAGGGAGCTTTTCAGAGGATGTTCAGAGCCAGCTCAGACTTGGGAGTCAGGAAGGCTGCCCCTCCTTTCTCCAGCAAAGCAGGAGAGGGCCTAGTGATCCTGAGTCCCACTGCCAAAGCTGGGCTGGAGGCTGGGTCTTCATTTGCATGGGGAGAAGGGTGAGGCTAGATAGCTATCTAGTGGTCCCACTGGTCTTGTTCCAGAGCTATTTTGGAACATTTTGGAAAAACAATAAAATGACTTTGGCCACACAAGCAGCTGACTTTAGTAAGTTGTTATATACTTATTCAGTGGTAGATAAGTAGTTCTGAGTAGTTGGATGAATTTTTAAAATACTAGAAAATGTGTTTTATTTAGTATGCAATATTTATTCAGGGTAGCAAAAAGAGAAGATCCACTCTTTTTTTTTTTTTTTTAATTTGGCCAGTCCTGGGGCTTGAATTCAGGACCTAGGCACTGTCCCTGAGCATCATTTGCTCAAGGCTGGCACTCTACCACTTGAGCCACAGTGCCACTTTCAGCTTCTTCTGTGTATGTGGTAGTGAGGAATCAAACCCAGGGCTTCATATGTGTTAGGCAAGCACTCTACACTAAACCACATTCCCAGATAGAAAATTCACTCTTTTTATTTTGGTTGTGGAGTTTGAACCCTGGACCTGGGCACTGTCCCTGGGTCCTTCAGCTCAAGGCTAGCACTCTACCACTTGAGCCACAGCACCACTTCCAGTTTTCTGTTGTTTATTGGAGATTAGAGTCTCAGGAACTTTCCTGCCCAGGCTGGCTTTGAACCATGATCCTCAGATCTCAGCCTCCTGAATAACTAGGATTACAGGTGTGAACCACCAGCGCCCAGCTTGAAGATTTTTTTTTTTTTTGGTCTGTCGTGGGGCTTGAACTCTGGGCTTGGGTGCTGTCCCTTTGTTCTTCAGCTCAAGGCGAGTGATCTATCACTTAAGCCACAGCACCAGTTCCGGTTTTCTAGTGGTTTATTGGAGATAAGAGTCTCACAGACTTTCCTGCCCGGGGTTGGCTTTGAACAGGGATCCTCAGATCTCAGCCTCCTGAGTAGCTAGGATTAAGGCGTGAGCCACCTGCGCCCGGCAAGTTTCACTCTTAAAGATAGTTTCTTCCAGTATTTTAGCATATACCTTCTTAGACATTTTAATACATATATATATATGTATATATATATATATATATACGATATTATAAAAAAATGGAATTCAGTGGGGAAGGCTGAATCGATCAGTTTAATACAAAGTTAAGGCAAGACCATGCAAGG